ACACACACACACACACACACACACACACACATACCCCCCACCCCATGCACACACATCATAAAATCCTGCAAGGGATTCCTGGAATGCCATCTTTTTACCAGAGCAGGTCCTGGTTTCTGTACAACACAAACACACAACACTCCTGCTGTCACAAACAGGAGCTCGTCGACAACAAGTTGTTCCCGCGTGGAGCTGCTCCGACTCGTGTCTTGTCCTGCCTCCAACAAATACGGAGGACATCCAGCAGAAGAAATGTTTAATAAACAAGCAACACGCCTTCGAATTAACTCTTGTGTCAAAACTTCAAGCTGCGACCTGCTGTCGACCTAACCCACATCCAGAGAGGCAGCAGCTCGGTGCGAGGCTGTGTGTGTTTGTGTGCTACACACTGACCCCTGCATGCCCTCTTTATGGCTACCCAAAAGTGCTGGTTTATGCTTGCTAACAGAGAGGCTGGTAGAAGACAAGATTAGCGGTGTTACCAAAAACCACAAACGGTTTTGTTCTCTATTGCGTTATTTATTTATTTAATTAAGCAGCTTCGTTCACTTCGTTCTCCTCACATCTTTGTCTGTTAGCAAAATATTTTATGAACCACCGGACTGATTTTAATTAAACTGTGAGAAGGTAATCACTGGATGTACATTCAGCACCTCACATAATCCACCTAAAACACAAAAACAGCTCTAAACTAGATCATTTGCACTTCCTGTGAAAATGCAGTGTGAATGTTTAATACTGAAAGATTTTTGCTGAAACTAGCCTAAAGGTAGATTAAATTAGAACGAAGAAATAGAAAAAGCACATTCGCTGAATGAAGCAAAAAAGCTGAAATTATCACAAAAGGTGAGTTTGGCTTAAAAAATAAAATAAAATTAGCCTAACAGTAGCTAAAAACACAGGAAACAGCTGAAATTAGCAAAAATCAGCTGAAAAAAGCATACAATGCTAAAAATAGCAGGAAAAAATTAATTAGCAGAATAATAGCAGAAAATATCAAAGTTATAGCTAAAAAGGTAAAAAAAACAACAACCTAAAATCAGTGAAATTGAAGCCAAAGGAAACTGAAATTAGCACAAAGGAGTTCAAAATGCAGAACTAGAGCAAACTAGAACAGAGTACAGTAAATATTTGTGAACATTTTAAAGGGTTTTAAGGATGTTTAAGACATCTGCATTCAGTTTGAATAAGAAAAATATGCCTAAAAAAGCTAAATATCTGAAAAAGTATAAATYGRAGTACCAAAAGTCATAGATGGWAAGTCTTGAAGGAACCAAATGTTTTGATATAGAAATTGCTAAAATAGCACAAAAATTGTGGAACAAGATACTTGCTAAAAAAGGTATGAAAGACAAAATGATCTCAATAATGTTAATGCTTTAAAAGCATCCACACATTTAGTGGGTTTTACAGCTATTAAGCGGACAATTGATGTGGTAGTAGCTGAGAGTCGTCCACAACAAGTACTCCAGATACATACGTGTTTTTTGTTTGTTTTGATTTCCGAGAAGCAAGCATGACCATTCAGACACTTGTTACCTGGTGGCTTCTTGCTCCAGGCGGGAAACATTGGGAACGTAGAACATGACGCCAAAAAAGAGCAGCGGCTCATTGCCAAACTTGTCCAGCTGCTTCTTGAGGGGTTTCTCGAGCTCTACCCAGCGCTGGGCCGGGGTCTGGTTCTTCCCTTGGAACCACAGCCCAAAGTAATGAGTCTGCAGACCAGAGAGAGAGGAGGAGGGAAAGTAGGTCATTATGCACACGGCAGAAGGATAAAACGGAACGACCAGAAGGGAAACTGGCAGCTAAAATAAAACATGGAAACTAAATTAACTAACTGAAAACAAAAAGACTTTCCTGAACTAATAACACAAACGACACAAAGGAAATAGCCATGTCCTGCAGAAATAAAACAGACTATTTAATCACATAATTCATTTTCTGGCTAAAACAGAGATACAACATTCAAGAAGAATAAATTACATTGTTGTAGAAACAATTATGGCTTTAAAAAGATCTCTGAAAACAGGTATTTCTTTAAAAATGCCAAAACAAGCCATAATATCTGTTGTAAACGAGGAACTTGRACTCTTAATTTTTAACATCTTTAAATCCACGATAAACTACAACACAATAGAACCTCACCTGTTACAGTATTTGCATAAGCAGTGAAGTCCTGAATTGTATCAAAATATCTCTGATTACAGGGGGTATTATACAAAACAGACTGTTCTGAGCTTCATATCATGGTATAATGTCACTCCTTCATCACATACCCAGAGTGTCGCTTTGACTCATTCATGCGTGTTTGAGAAATCCTTGAATCTCCTGTGGTAGACATGTGGAGCTGTCTAAACACTTGCTGGTACAAAGCTCCACCTATTTACCCATAGCTCCTCCCTGGAGCTCAGTCTTCAGCCGAGCTCCCGCCCCACAGAGCACCCCTCCCCTGCAGTGCGTTGTGAAGACGTGCTGAAGTGGGAGTGTTGGAAACAGTAGGAGGGTTTTAAAGAGACAGGCCAATTCCAAAGTGTTTAGATAGGAATGATGCAAAGGCAAATCAGCATGATGATAAACTCACTGCCGTGCTGAAAGACGGGGTCAAACACACAAAGACTAAAAGTCCACAAGAGGACATGCATTCATGTGGCAGATAGCTGCTGAAGTTGTGGTGTAACACCTCCTTATTTATAACATCTCTGACACCTGACAAATATCACAACACAATGAGACTGTGCACAACAAAAGCCCCCCCTCTACATCACTTTGTCAGCTGCTTCAATAGACAGACACACTTTCATTGGAAAAACACACATTCCTACATTTGATAAACAACTGTAAAAAGTTCTGGACAGGTGTCAGGTTTAAAGTTTCAATGAAAAGTTGATAAAAAATAATATCCACAAGAGACCAAAAGAGACAAAGTGTTAATTAGGACAGCAGTACAGAGGTAGCCCAGCTTCGTTAGAGACTAACAAAGACCCAAAGACGTGCAACAAACAGTGTAAACGTCTAAAAAACTAATCAGCTGCTGATAATTTCTGGTTTGCGTTGGGTCAAAATGACATTATACCAGCAGAAGTTAGTGTCACAAAGTAAAGAACTGACCTCCCGGAGCTCCAGCCTCTGGGCCACCATCTCCAAACACTCCTGTCCCGTGCTCTCCACAGACAGGGTGCATTCGATCACGTTGGTGTCCAGCTGGCGGATCCGGGTCACAAAGGAGTTCTTGCTCAGGACGTTGTAGCGACGGGTCCTCCGCAGCTTCAGCCCGAAGGGCATGGCTGATCAAAGCGGAGGGGGTGGAGGGAGGTGGGGGGTCACGGCTGAGTCAAAAGGTCAAAAGTCACTTGAGAGCACGCGAGGGGAGGGGACGGGCTCTACGACCTGGCTGCTGCCCGCCTCACTCTCGCGCGATGCCAGCCACACCACCGGGCGGAGAAATGCACCCAGGCAAGGCGCTGGCCCATTCCCGAAGTTGTCCGTCTAGGAGGAGGAGGAGGAGGAGGAGGTGGTAGAACAGATGTTGAGAAGGAAGAATAAACAAAAGGACAACATGTAAGTAACAGGGCAAAATTACTTCTGCAGACTCTTTCAGAACATTCCTTTTCTGCTCGAGCTCTTAAGATTAGAGACATTTTAGTCCTATCAAATCCTCCCACATCGTAATTCAAAGCGTTATCTTCCTCCCTACATCCTATAAAAACAGAGGTAAAAAAAACAGCAGAATTAACAGTAAGACCACTAGCAGCAGTGTGATGCAGGCAAGAGCTGGAACGGTACRACCTCAGATAGAGTCGGCAGCATCAGACAGAGCTTTGGATGAATGCATCAGCTGACCCTGAACCCAGCAGATGGCTTTAAAAAGTCTAATGAAGCCGCCTCTTCTGCCTCGTCAGTAGGCCTTCCACTTTATTTTATTTTTATTTTATCTACCCAGCAGCAACACATACAGCAGGTAAAATAAGTATTGAACACATCAACAATTTTCTCAGTAAATATATTACTAGAGGTGCTAATCACATGAAATTTTCACCAGATGTTGGTAACAACCCAAGTGATCCATACATACAAAGAAATCAAATCATAAATGTCCAGAAATGAAGTTATTTGTAATAATGTGGAATGGCACAGGGAAAAAGTATTGAACACATGAAGAAAGGGAGGTGTAAAAAGGCATGGAAAGACAAGACGTGGAGGAAGTGGAAAGAACATCATTTCACCATAAACCGACCACGACCAGGTGCTCCTCACAAGATTTCTGAC